GACTCACTGGAGAAGAGCCCAATGCTGGGAAAGATTGAGGACAATAGAAGAAGGGGACGACAGAGAATGAGGTGGCTGGATGGAGTCACAGAAGCAGTAGGCATGAACTTAAAGGGACTCCAGAAGATGGTAGAGGACAGGAAGGCCTGGAGGAACATTGTCCATGGGGTCACGATGGGTCGGACATGACTTCGCAACTAACAACAATAACTGACAGCTGGTCATTTGCATTCTTTTAGAGGGTCGTTGAGGCCACTTGGAGGTTTACCTGTGTCCTCAGGGTCACCTGAGAAGTGAAAATGGGTGTGGAGTCATGGCTGCAGGATGTTTTGTGCCCTTGGTCCCTTCACTGTTGAAGACAAGTGCAGGCTGTTGGGGATGAGTCTGTGTTGTCTGCATCTCAAACTGAAGCTCAAATGGTTCCTGTAGTCTATAATGTTTCCTGGAAATCCGTTCATAAAACCCTCAAGTGGCCTCAACGACCCTCTAAAAGAATGCAAATGACCAGCTGTCTGCAAGGAGTATAAATCCTTCCATTCCCCGCCATCCGGTCAGAGCTGAAGAAGCTTCTTGGATGAGAAGTGAAACGTCTTGAAAGGAAAAACAAAACAAAACAAGAAGGTCCAGTTGCCTCCTGAAAAAGCACCTTTGGAACGACTTAATGATGGACGTTCTGGTCCCAAATATCTTTTCAAGTCATGGACCACCTGTAAACCTGCCATCTTGCTTTTGTAGAACTTCTTCCGGAAACACGCGCCGAGCGAAACCGGGCCCCATGGCATAAGTGCGGAAGTTATGGACACCTATGTGAAGAGTTGCGGTGAGCCTTAGCGAACACTTCCATGGGTCTGTCTGAAGTTCAGAAGACATGGAAGTAACTACCTATGTTTTGAGTAGGGTTTTCCTAAAAGAAACAAAAACAACCCTTGCTTGGTAACAGTTATGGCCAGTGCTAGTAAAGAGTGGGGGCTTGCAGGGAGGAGGAGGAAGAGGAGAAGGTGAAGGAAGAGGAAGACTGGGGGTTCCTTGGTGCTCTCTGAGCTTGGTTGTTTTCTTGTAGATGTTTCATTACCAAACTAGGTAACATCGTCAGTACTAGAAGAGAGTGGTGTTTATGGTGTGGTGGAAGAGAAGGAGGAGAAGGAAGAGTAGGACTGTGGGATCCTTGATGCTTTCACAGATTAGTTGTTTTCTTGCAGATGTTTCATTACCCAACTAGGTAACTTCATCAGTGCTAGCAAGGTTTCCACAGATTTCTGACATAAGAATCTATCTTGCCTCAGTTTAGTTTTTATCCTCAGGAGTTTGAACGTGAGAGTAATGCTAATTTTGTTTTACGTTTTTATTTTCAGCTGGATATTGTGTGATCACATATATACTTGGAGTTGGAGACAGACATCTGGATAACCTTCTGCTCACCAAGACAGGTAAAAAAATTCACTTTTGGGGGGGGGAGGGTAAATGTTGGGACATCTTCACTGTGCAATAAAATGATGTCCTTTTGAAATGGTGTGTCTTTGCCTACGAGGGCCAAGGCTTGTTAAAGCAATTTTAACACAGGTTATAAAATACCCTGGAAATATTGGAGCCACACAGTATTAAAAAAAAAATATCTAAGGACTTTGTATAGAAGGCAGAATTAACAAGGCATAACTTGTAAATTAACAGTCCTAATAATTTAATAAAATGGGATGATTGTAGCATTCAGCCAGTAACCATTTGCAGTGCATTTACATTTTGCTCAGTGCTTTATTATGCTATTGTTATTCATGTTATACAATTTCCCTGCCACCCTGTTGTGTGATTCGGGCTGTGGGTAAAACACAGAAAAGATAAAATTGCGATCAAAGGATGAAATTGATAAATAAGCTCAGCTGATCCAATGCAACGAAACCAGGGGGTTAAAATTCTAAAACAGAGTCGTTGTAAAGATAGCTGTGTATGTGAGTGGAGGTACTGTAGTGCTCTGGTGTGAACGGAGAAGGCACATACCTTGATCCCACCTGTTTTATTTCCATAAGAGGTAGGAACACTCAGCATATTTTGCAAATTTATTTGTGTAGAATAGTCAACTTTTACCTGTAGCAGATGGCCCTGTGGTCTCCAGGATCTAAGCCCATTCTACTAAAGATGAAATCTACTAAAGGCTGAGAGTTAACTATGATGATGATAAATTTAATGAAGAAATCTAATAAATATACAGAAACAATGTAATCTACAGAATCAACTATAACGATTGCAGCCAATTCTACGTTGGACAAACATCACGTCGATTGAAAACCAGGATCCACCAACATCGTCTGGCAGTCAAACTCCACGATCCTAAATCCTTAATCTCTACCCACACCGACGCCAAACGGCAGCAGTTCAATTGGAGCAAGGCAAAAATCATCGGCCACACTACCACCCGCCATGCTTGTCAGTTCATCAGAGCCTGGCACTCCACAAGCAAATGCTAGGCTGCATTAACAGAGGGATAGAATCAAGATCACTTGAAGTGTTAATACTACTTTACAATGCCTTGGTAAGGCCACCCTTGGAATCCTGCATCCAGTTTTGGTCACCACGGTGTAAAAAAGATGCTGAGACTCTCTACAAAGAGTGCAGAGAAGAGCAACAAAGATGATTAGGGGACTGGAGGCTAAAACATACAAGGAAAGGTTGCTGGAATTGGGGATGTCTAGTTTAATGAAGAGAAGGACGAGGGGGGACATGACAGCAGTCTTCCAGTATCTCAGGGGCTGCCCCAAAGAAGAGGGAGTCAAGCTATTCTCCAAAGCGCCAGAAGGCAGGACAAGAAGCAACGGATGGAAACTAACCAAAGAGAGAAGCAACCTAGAACTAAGGAGAAATTTCCTGACAGTGAGAACAATTAACCAGTGGAACAACCTGCCTCCAGAAGCTGTGAAGGCTCCAACACTGGAAGTTTTTAAGAAGAGACTGGATAGCCATTTGTCTGAAATGGTATAGGGCAGTGGTGGCGAACCTATGGCATACATGCCAGAGGTGGCACTCAGGGCCCTCTCAGTAGGCACGCGCGCCGTGCCCCGGAGATGGCAACCGTCCTTCAACCAGCCGCCCACTAACTCGCCAAGGTCCCATATGGCCGGATGCATCCCAGCACCCATGCGCTCAGTGGCCTCTGTGTGCTGGGGCCAATGATGTCAGGCAACAGCCGCCCCGGCCCCTGCTTCGCCTTGCCCTGTGACAATGGCACTCCCGCCCTGCCTCGCCTTGCCTCGCCTCATCCCGACGATGAGCCTCCTGCCCACTGCCCCACCTGCCAGAGACCCCCTGGATCTCCCCCAACCCTGCCCGGCCCCCACAGGCATCCCTCCACATGAGCAACATCGAAGTAATCATGCCCACCTTGGCCACACCCACCCAGTCTGCCATGACCATCACAGCCACACCCACCCAGTGGGCTATGCCCACCTGGCACCTGGCGATAAATAAATGGGTTTTGGGTTGCAGTTTGGGCACTCAGTCTCTAAAAGGTTCGCCATCACTGGTATAGGGTTTCCTTCCTGAGCAGGGGCTTGGACTACATGACCTCCAAGATCCCTTCCAACATTATTATTATTGTTGTTGTTGTTGTTATTATTATTTCCATCAACAGACATATCGACCTTCAACCAGCCTACGAACCCCTCAGAATCCAAATCAACTGCACAGCCAACCAGAGACGGGAGGGTGGAACTACTGGTTTGTACCTTTAGAGCAGAGGTTTTCAAACTTGGCCCTTTTATGACTCATGGACTTCAACTCCCAGAATTACTGACCCAGCATGGCTCAGCTTGGAAGCCTCTCCCTTTCCCCTCAGCGTGGCTGCTTCAGGAATTCTGGGAATTGAAGTTGTCGAGTCATAAAAGAGCTACGGTTGCCTACCCCCAGTCTAGCCTAACAAAGAGAAGGTTTAGGGGAGATCTGATGCAATCTTCAAATACTTGAAGGGATGTCACAGGGAAGAGAGTTTTGATTTATTCTTCAAAGCACCTGAGGGCAGGAAAAGGAAAATGGGTGGAAGCTTGTTAAAAAAAAAAAAAAATCCAACCGAGAAATCTATGGAGCTTCTCAATCATCCAGGTCAGGGTTGTCCCAAAGTTGCTTTTTCATGAGACAACTGGACTTCCTTGTTTTTCTTTGAAGACGTTTCGCTTTTCATCCAAGATGCTTCTTCAGCTCTGACTGGATGGTGGGGGAATGGAAAGGTTTATACTCCTTGTAGACAGCTGGTCATTTGCATTCTTTTAGAGGGTCATTGAGGCCACTTGGAGAATATTGGAGAAGAAGCCCATCAGGACAAGATTCAGCAGTCTATCTTCATTTAAAAGACAAAGGCCACTTTTTTGAAGACAGCAAAGTCCACATTTCGGACAGAGAGGACCGCTGGTTTGAAAGAGGGGTCCAAGAGGCCATCTAGGTCAAAACTGAACATCCCTCTCAATAGAGAAGGAGGGATACGATATCATCTGTCTCCAGTCCTTTCAGCAGTTCCCAGAAGGCTCCACACCCATTTGCACCACTCGGACGACCCTGCGAATACAGATCAACCTCCTGATTATGTTCACGCAGCCCTCAAAAACTGGACCCTTTTCAAACCTGCATTTCAAAATTGTGTCAAAACATGGTTAGTTTTAACACATTTTTCTTTTGGTGGCTCTAACTTAATTCGTGATCTGGCGTCTTCTTCCAGGTCAGTGAGCGGATTAATGGAGAAACCAGATTCACCGCGTTATGCAGATTTAATCATTGTGAAAAGACGATAAACACACATTGAGCACAACTGGTGTCAGCCGTTCGAAAAACATTTGCCACGACAATTTGATCACTGCGGCTAAGTCATCCAAGCCAGCATTTCNCTAACTTAATTCGTGATCTGGCGTCTTCTTCCAGGTCAGTGAGCGGATTAATGGAGAAACCAGATTCACCGCGTTATGCAGATTTAATCATTGTGAAAAGACGATAAACACACATTGAGCACAACTGGTGTCAGCCGTTCGAAAAACATTTGCCACGACAATTTGATCACTGCGGCTAAGTCATCCAAGCCAGCATTTCAGAGACGCCGGCAGGCAGATGGGCCCAAGAAAAATAAACCTCCTAAAAGGATGGATAATAAAGCCGGCATCGTTTCCAATCTGCCTAATTTGTTCCTTATAAAATAACATCGCTAATTGGCCCTTGACAGACTCTTTTACACGCGGAGCAACACACACACACACACACACACTGTTTCAAGATCTGTTAATTATATGCCTGGGTTGTAGATTGTTAAAAGACTTTTCGACAAACGTAGCCGCTATTATACACTCTGCTGCTTTCAAAACACAGTGCATGTTTAATAAGCATTTATTAGTCGCAGTTAATTAGGTAGTGAACATAATTTTATTCAGATTGAATAAAGGGGTTTTTCTCTCCTTTCCATCGGATCTTCAGTTATGATATTAATCTGACTTTTTTCTTTTTTCCCTAGCCGATTTTCTTTCTTATAAGTTCTTTTTTTTTTTGTACAATTCCTTCCTGTTAACATATATAAGTCTGGTCCAGGGGTAGGCAACCTTGGCTCTTTTATGACTTGTGGACTTCAACTCCCAGAATTCCTGAGGCAGCATGGGGGAACTATGGCCCCTTCATGACGTGGACTTCAACTCCCAGAATTCCTGAGCCAGCATGAGGAAAACTTTGGCCCCTTCATGATTCGTGGACTTCAACTCCCAGAATTCCTCAGCCAGCATGGCTCAGCTTGGAAACCTCTCCCTTTCCCCTCAGCTTGGCTGGCTGAGGAATTCTGGGAGTTGAAGTCCACGAGTCATAAAAGAGCCAAGGTTGCCTACCCCTGGTCTGGTCTATCGGAAGGAAGGCAGAAGAAGAAATTATAGTCCCAGATTGCACCAAACTCCTCTCCAATAAATAAATAAACTTCTGCATCCAGATGCCTAGCAAAATGACAAAATGATTTGTATTTTGTATTCTTTATGCCCTGTAGAGTCGGAAAGAGTCAGGTTGCCTTATGGATGTCTCAATAAATAAAAGCATGCTTAAAAAGATCTCTCCGGAAGGTGAATTTACACAGCGGGCAACGGGGAGCTTGGAAGGGAAGAGATGGCTTATGCTTCAGTGGTTTGTAGAAAATGCAGCATGTTAATTCTTAATGTGGCCTCTTCCATCGGGCATGGCCTGCTGGGAGAGCACCACAATTGAATTTCTTAAACCAGGATGACAATTTGTGAACCTAGGTTAAATTTATATCATGTGAGGAAAGAGAGGGGGGATTTTTTTTTAAGGTATTAATTTTAGTTATATATATATGACTTGTTTTGTTATGATTGCTTACCCTTTCACCACGGTGTTTTCCTGAGCACTTTGATGTTAAAATTTAAAAAACCAATAAAATGTGTATAAAAAAAGATATATCATGGAGAGGCAGCGCTGGCCCTCATTTGATAGTTTTCAAAAGTCCATTTGTTCGTCGTTTCTCCTCCAAACTTTGCCATTTTAAGACTTGAGGACTTCAACTCCCAGAATTCCTCCGCCAGCACTTGGCAACTTTAAGACTTGTGGACTTCAACTCCCAGAATTCCTCCACCAGTACTTGGCAACTTTAAGACTTGTGGACGTCAACTCCCAGAATTCCCCAGTCAGCATGGCTGACTGATGAATTCTGGGAGTCGAAGTCCACCAGTTTTAAAAATTACCAAGTTTGGAGATCCTTGGATTAAAACATGCTCCTGGGTTTCGAATGATAGATTTGGATTTGAATGAATTGGAGCAAAAGGTTTAAGATTCTAGATCTGCAATCCAGAATTGTGTGTTTCCAACACTTGGAAAATTAGAATGTTTGATGGGACACGACAGAAAAATGAGGGAATACATGGGGTGTTATCCCATGAACTGAGGTTGAATTTGAATAAAAAGAATTCAGAGGTAGATTTTGACTTTCCCAGTCCAGGTCCCGTATCCAGCTCTGAGCACCACACTTGAAGAAAGATTTAGAGAAATCTGTACCTAGAAGAGGCAGAGGACTAGAAACTTAATAGAGACCATAAGGGCAAGCAGTGTTTGATTTTGAGACGACTAAAGAAAAATACTCCAAATAGCTGAAAGGATGTTGCATAGAAGATCAAGACCTGTTCTTTCTGTAAAGAACAAAAAAGCTGATAAAAGATACACGAAGGCAAATTCTGAATAAGAATTTAGAATAGAATAGAATAGAACAGAACTGGAAGGGACCTTGGAGGTCTTCTAGTCCAGCCCCCTGCTCAAGCAGGAGAACCTATACCATCTCAGACAAGTGACTGTCCAGTCTCTTCTTGAAAATCTCCAGTGATGGAGTGCCCACGATTTCTGGTGGCAGGCTGTTCCACTGGTTGATTGTCCTCGCTGTCAGGAAGTTTCTCCTTAATTCCAGGTTGCTTCTCTCTTTGGTCAGTTTCCAACCATTGTTTCTTGTCCTGCCCTCTGGTGCTTTGGGACAATCATGACCTGGATGACTGAGAAGCTCCAGACAAACCACTTATTAAGAATGGAGGCTCTTGTTTAACTTTTTTCCACCACTCTGACACTCATTCTTGCTGATCTGATGCCTTTTGAAATGTGTTGGTGCACAAGACCGACCGTACCAGTTACATATGCAAATATGTCTCAGATTAATTAACGCCTCTGATTCCCTCCATACCGAGCTGGATAAGAAGTATAATTACAGTCTCTCCGGACTTATTCTGTTGTCTTCCTTTTTTCCCCCCCCCTCCTATAAAAAGCGTGCATCTTTAGACTCAACGTGAAGACAGGCTCAACATAAATTAGCAGTGAGAAGAAGCTCTCTAAATGTCCGTAATTAAATAACTCGTGTGATTTTTTTTTTACAACATAGATCAGAGCCTGCTGGTTTAAAACATTTTTTTTTTTTTAATGTGTTGCGCTTCGTGTGAGTAATATCCTTTTACCGTTTTTTTTGAGCGATAGGGGACGTAACCTAAGGCAGTTCCATATGGTACAGCAGGGTTGATTCTTCTGGGATTCTGCTTATTTTTTTTATTTTTATTTTTTAAAATCTCATCTTTAAATCAAACTGTGCAGACTTGATGCTGGGAATTTCTGTTAGATAAATGAATGCAGGATGAAATATGTTTGTATAGGAAGTTGGGTCCAGCCAAGTGGGAAAGTATCTATCTGACGGCTTTTGAGCAAGATAATAATAATAATAATAATAATAATAATAATAATAATAATAATAATAATAATAATAATCATCATCATCATCATCATCATCATCATCATCATCATCATCATCATCATCATCATCATCATCATCATCATCATCACCACAACAACGATGATGATGATGATAATAATGATAATAATAATAAATAATAATAATAATGATGATGATAAAGATAAAAATGATAAAATTAAACTGCTCTGGGACTTCAGAATTCAAACAGACAAGCACCTGCAACATAACACCCTGGACTTAACAATTGTCGATAAGAAAGACAAAAAAGTCTGGATAGTGGACGTGGCAGTACCTGGAGACAGCAGAATAGATGAGAAAGAACTGGAGAAGATCACAAAATACAAAGACCTGCAAATAGAAATAGAAAGACTGTGGCAAAAGCAAGCAAGGGTAGTACCAATAGTAATAGGCGCCTTGGGTGCAATCCCAAAACAACTGGAGCACCACTTGAACACCATCATCGGCATTGACAAATTCACCATTAGTCAATTGCAAAAGGCGGCCTTACTAGGAACTGCCTCCATCCTGCGACGAGATCTGTAATACCATCAAACATCCACATCTGCCTATCCCAGGTCCTTGGTAAGGACTCGATAGGTAGACAAAATGCCAAGTCCAGTCTGAACATCTGGCTGACTGTGTGATGATCAATAATAATAAAGTTGGAAGGGACCTTGGAGGTCATCTAGTACCCCCTGCTCAGACAGGAAACCCTATACCATTTCAGAATTCAGGTTGAATTCAATAACTCATATAGTTTGGGCATGTCCTACTATCATCCCGGATCTCCCCTCCTTCCGCCGCGCCCTCAAGACATGGCTATTCCAGCTAGCGGGGCTGGCCTGAGGGGTATTTTAGATTGGATTTTAATTTGATTTTATATTGGGTGTTCACAAAATTTTAAATGAAACGGCAAAATTAATATTTCTTTTAATTGTATTTTAAAATGGTGTTTGTAAGGTCTTTATCTGTTTTTAGCTTGCTGTAAGCCGCCCTGGGTCCGCCAGGAGAAGGGCGGGGTATAAATCTAATAAAATCTAAAAATCTAAATCTAAATCTATCCCTGTACAGGTAGTTCTCAAGGCAGGACCACAATTGAGCCTTAACATTTCTGTTGCTAGTTGAGACATTTGTTAAGGGAGTTTTGCCCCTTTTTATCACCTTTCTTGCCACACTTGTTAAGTGAATCACTGCAGTTGTTAAGCTGGGGACACAGTTGCTAAGTAAATCTGGCTTCCCCCATTGACTTTGCTTGTCAGAAAGTCATAAAAGAGGATCACATGACCCCGGGACGCTGCAACATTCATAAATACGAGTCAGTTGCCAAGCGTCCGAATTTTGATCGTGTGACCCTGGGGATGCTCTAATGGTCGTAAGTGTGAACAACGGACATAAGTCACTTTTTTCAGGGCCGTTGTGACTGTAAGGGTGTGTGTGCACAGGGCAAGAAGTACCGCATGACTGATAGCAATAGCCCTTAGACTTATATACCACTTCACAGTGCTTTACAGCCCTCTCTAAGTGGTTTAGAGAGTCAGCATATTTACCCCCAACCATCTGGAAGTTTTTAAGAAGAGACTGGACAGCCATTGATCTGAAATGGTATAGGGTTTCCTGCCTGAGCAGGGGGTTGGACTAGAAGACCTTCAAGGTTCCTTCCTAACTCTTTGATTCTGTTATTCTAAGTAGTAAAGAGAGAACGAAACCTTGTAAATTCCCTGCCAGCCATAAATCTAATCTGTAGTGTTTTTGTTTTTGCTTTTTTTTCTGACGTTCTCAACGCAGGCAAACTTTTCCACATTGATTTCGGCTACATTCTGGGACGTGATCCGAAGCCTCTTCCGCCACCCATGAAGCTGAATAAGGAAATGGTAGAAGGCATGGGAGGGACGCAGAGCGAACAATACCAGGAATTTCGGAAGCAGTGCTACACGGCGTTCCTTCATCTCCGCAGGTTAGAATTTTGTTTTTCGATAACCCACAACCTATTGGGTCGTTCTTTCAGAGATATTTCACAGAGGTGGCCATGTGCACCCACACGGGGCTAGCGGCCCCATTTGTGTAGGCATGCAGGCGCTAGCCGCCGCTGCTAGCCCCGTGTGCATGTGCAAACAGGCCACGCAACCCACATGGAGCTATCGGCCCTGTTTGCACATGCCTGCAGGCACTAGCCCCGTGGTGGCGAACCTATAGCACGGGTGCCAGAGGTGGCACGCAGAGCCCTCTCTGTGGGGACACGTGCCGTCGCCCCAGTCCTAGGCCTTCAGCTGGGTTTTATAAAACTTTTTCGCTTTAGGCCTCCGCCGCCATGTGCAAAAAAAAAAATAGGTTCAATCAATCAATTTCAACTTCTCGCGGGAAAAAAAAAGATCTCGCACAGTTGGAATTGATTGATTGAACTTTTTAGTCCCACCCAGTCTGCTGTTACCACCGCAGCCACGCCCACCCGATGGGCCACGCCCACCCAATGGGCCGCACCCAGCCAATGGGCCACACCCACCCGGCACCAGATGATGCATAAGTGGGTTTTGGGTTGCAGTTTGGGCACTCGGTCTCTAAAAGGTTTGCCATCACTGCACTAGCCCCTGCTGTTAGCCCCACATGCGTGCAACCTGCGTGTGCATTAGCGGCACCTTTTGTGCAGGCGTGCAGGCGATAGCCGCCACTAGCCACGCGTGCATGCGCAAATGTGTCTGCGGGTGGGGATGAGTGCATGCACACGCATGCATGTACTGGCCTGCCTGGTAGTGGACCGCTTCCCCTAGGTTGGGGATCCCTGAACTAGCCAAATTCAGTGATTTGGAGAAAAACTAAGCATGATTAAACCTGCTTAGTGGTAGAAGGAAAGGCTGTCAGAAACGTTGAACCTTCATTACAGAAAAAGGGTATGGAAAAGTAATTCCACATTATTGTCAGCTGCCCTCGGACCAGCAAAATCAACAGGGGAGACTGTAAGATTTCCTTAACAACTGCAGCGATTCATCTCACAACTGTTGCAAAACAGGTTGTAAAAGACGACCCAAAAACTTACTTAATTACTGCCTTGCTTAACAATGGAAATTTTGGGCTGAGCTGCGATCCTAAGTCAAGGACTATCTGCACGCCATCAGGGAAGAGAATGTAGCTAAGAGAGGGTGAGGTCAAATTTATTTTGTCTGTGCATTTTTATTTAGTCCTTAAATTTCTTTGCAGCTCGTCTCACCACAAGATGGGCAGAAATTTTCCACATGAATAATAATAATAATAATAATAATAATAATAATAATAATAATAATAATAATAATAAAGTTAGAAGGGACCTGGGAGGTCATCTAGTCCAAACCCCTGCTCAGGCAGGAAATGATATGCCATTTCAGACAAATGGCTGTCCAGTCTCTTCTTAAAAACGTCCAGTGTTGGAGCATTCACCGCTTCTGGAGGCAGGTTGTTCCACTGGTTAATTAGAATAGAATAGAATAGAATAGAATAGAATAGAATAGAATAACAGAGTTGGAAGGGACCTTGGAGGTCATCTAGTCCAACCCCCTGCTCAGGCAGGAAACCCTATACCATTTCAGACAAATGGCCGTCCAGTCTCTTCTTCAAAACCTCCAGTGTTGGAGCATTCACAGCTTCTGGAGGCAGGTTGTTCCACTGATGAACTGCATTCACTCACGGTCCTGAGGTAGCTGAGAGCTGGAAACTAATTCCAAAAAGGTGAAAAGCATTTTGGATCTAACATTTGCAGCCTGATTGCCTTTGATATATGACGGCTAATGTAAAAATGCCACCGAGCTTGTCTCCGTCTCCTGCTTGCCTGTGCTGAGCGGAATGCAAAGGGCTAGACATCTTTATGGGTGCTTTATGATGTATGGGGAATAAAATGCAGGAAAGTGGGGAATATTAAAGATAATAATGGGAAGGAAATGCGCTTCAAAGGCAGGCTCGCGGAATTCACTTGAAGCAGGGTTGGGAGGAAAGGGGAGGAAAGAAACGGAGATTCTCAGTCATCCAGGTCAGGGTTGTCCCAAAGATCCTTTTTCACAAGGCAACTAGACTTCCTTGTTTTTCTTTGAAGACGTTTCGCTTCTCGTCCCAGAAGCTTCTTCAGCTCTGACTGGATGGTGGGGAAATGGAAGGATTTATATTCCTTGCAGACCGCTGGTCATTTGCATTCTTTTAGAGGGTCGTTGAGGCCATTTGGAGATGTACCTGTGTCCTCAGGGTCACCTAAGAGGTGCAAATGGGCGTGGGACCTTCTTGGGCTGCAGGATGTTTTCCCAACCCTTCCCTGTTGAAGAAAGGACAGGCTCTTGGGGATGAGTCTGTCTTGTCTGCATCTCAAACTGAAGCGCAAATGGTTCCCGGAGTCTGCAATGTTTTCTGGAAATCCGTTCATCCTCCCGCACCATCCGAAGGAGGTTCATCCCAAACTGCGTAGCTAAGTGTCTGTGGAGGTTCTCCGTCATCCAGGTCACGGTTGTCCCAAAGGTGATTTTTTTTTTTCGGGAGGCAACTGGACTTCCTTTGTTTTTCTTTGAAGACGTTTCGCTTCTCATCCAAGAAGCTTCTTCAGCTCTGACTGGATGGTGGGGAAGGGAAGGATTTATACTCCTTGCAGACAGCTGGTCATTTGCCTTCTTTTAGAGAGTCATTGAGGCCACCTGAAGGTTTATCTATGTCCTCAGGGTCACCTGAGTGATGGGTGATCTATCTACAATACAATCCTTTCAGATTGGTGCAGATGGGTGTGCTAGAAGGCTCCACACCCATCTGCACACCTACTCAGGTGACCCTGAGGGTCACTGTAGGGTCCTTGGTGCCCTCTGAGCTTGGTTGTCGTCTTGCAGGCGTTTTATGACCCAACTAGGTAACATCATCAGTGTTAGAAGGGAATGGGTTTTGAAGAGAAGAGGAGGAGGAGGACTGTGGGGTTCTTTGTGCCCTCTGAGCTTGGTTGTTTTCTTGCAGGTGTTTCATGAACCAACTAGGTGACATCATCAGTGTGGAGAGCATACCCCACTTCCTTCTAGCACCCATGATGCTACTTAGGTGACAAAACATCTGCAAGAAAGCAACAGGTTCAGAGAGCACCAAGGACCCTACAATAACCATCTGTTCTCTTCAGTTTTCTATGTTTAACCAGGTTTACCAGGCCTGAGTGGTTTTGGAATGTGGGGTACTGGATTGGAAACCACAAATTGGAGTTTTACTGGAATTGTTGAGCGTGTAGGGTCGAGGCCTGGAGATCTCAAACTTCTCCACCAGAAGATCTCTCATAAGAATCAAGAAAGACACATGGAGTTCCTTCTGAGAAAGTTTCTTTTATTGACAGGATCTTGTCAAACTAAAGCAGTTATTTGCATAAAATTTCAGATATTCCCTGAGAATCGCGAGGGAAAGGCCATTTTAACTCTCTTCCTTCCTACTAAACTTCCCATGCTTTGCTGCCTCTTTACTACCAGCAGCAAAAGTGACTAAATGGTTACTCCAAAGCTGGAGGTTGACCTAGTTTGTAAAAAAACCCAGATGGAGTGGAATGTAGTCTGGATTCCCAGAAGGGAGGGGAATCCAGACTACATTCCACCCCATCTTGTTTTGTTTTTTTTACAAACTAGGTCAACCTCCAGCTTTGGAGTAACCGTTTAGTCCCTTCTGCTGCTAAAATGCATGTATTTTAACGTATTTAAAAATCCCTGATGTTCTTCCCCCTTTTTCCGAATCAAACCTGTGTTTCATCACAATGAGGAAACAAAAAAAACAACAACACAATTCAGAAAAGCAGATGAAATGCTCCTATCAGAACACAAGATGGCACATGGCGGCAATAAATGCTATAAATCCTTCTGCCAGGATACCAAGATGCCGGATAAAGCTTCCAATAAATTATTGCAGGCTGGGAGAGAGTCTGAATGGTTATTTTCTCAACCTGAGGGTAGGCATTAAAGGCTTAAGTGCGCATATTCACTGAGTGCTTACAGAAAAATTAAGGAGAGAAAGTGTTTTAACAGATATAGTAAACAACAAGAATGAGCAACGAGAATGATGAAGGGGCTGGTGGCTAAAACATATGAAGAACGGTTGCAGGAATTGGGTATGTCTAGTAGTTTAATGAAAAGAAGGACTTGGGGTGACAGGACGGCAGTCTTCCAATATTTGAGGGGCTCCTACAAAGACGAGGGGGTCAAACTATTCTCCAAAGCACCTGAAGCAGCAAGAGGAGAAACAATGGATGGAAACTAACCAAGGAGAGAAGCAAATTTGAATTACGGATAAATTTCCTAACAGTGAGAGCAATCAACCAGTGGAACAGAAGTTGCCTTCAGAGGTTGTGGGTGTTATGGTTCCGACATATGAAACTCTTCAAAGAACTTCAAGGCATTGTTTACCTTAAAGGGTTTTTATTTGAGCAGCAACACATCGGCACTTACATAGTCCAAGCCAAAATCTGGATTCCCCTCCCCTTAGCACACAGTATCAAGCACAATTCCCTCCTCTAATTAACAGTCATAAATCACATTCTCCAATTAGTTTGAAATGCAGGCTTTCCCTCCTGTTTTCCAACCCACCATTCCTTATCCTCTCTTATTTCAAAAGCTCTGAATTCACACACTATTAACAATATTATTATCTCTATCTAACTCCCATCACAGTGGGTGCTTCATCACTGGAGGTTTTTAAGAAGAGAACGGGCAGCTACTTGTCAGAAATGGTATAGGGTCTCCTGCTTGAGCAGGGGGTTGGACTAGAAGACCTCCAAGGTCCCTTCCAACTGTATTCTGTAATCTAAAACAGGGGTCCCTGACGCTGGTAGCCCGGGTTCGAGCTCCGAGCTCCGCACAGTGGAGTGAGCTCCTGGCTGTCAAGAGTGAAAACCTGGCAGCAGCTACGTGCCTTATTGTTTTTATCTTTAGAGTAAAGGGGTGTGGGGGGGAGATGAGGCTTCAAATGTGTTAGTTAGAGCAGATGTCCCCAATCCCCGGTCCATGGACCAGTACCGGTCCGCAGCATGCCAGCAACCGGTCCGTACAAGCAAGCGAAGCTCCATCTGTGGGATGCAGGCAGCACACAAAACCACACACCCTCCGGTCCGCGGAAAAACCTCTCCGCCGAACCGGTCCCTGGTGTCCAAAAGGTTGGGGACCTCTGATCTAGACGAATCCGACGTATTCTCCAAAGCACCTGAGGGCAAGACAAGAAGCAATGGGTGGAAGCCCCTCAGAGGGGGATCCAACCTGGAAATAAGGAGGAATTTCCCAGCAGTGAGGACAATTAATCACTGCAACAGCTTGCCTCCTAGAATTGTGGATGCTCCATGACTGGAGGTTTTAGAGACTGGACAAGTGTTCGACCAGGATGATATGAGGTCTCCTGCCCCTGTGTGGGAGGTTGAACTAGAAGATCTCCAAGGTCCCTTCCAGCACACATTTAATGAAAAGAAGGACTAGGGGTCTTTTGTTTTTGTAAAATATCTCTGCTGGTCTCGGGTGTGTTTTTTTTCCTCAGTCATAGCAGTCACACTCATTTTCTTCTGGAGAAAAGATAGTCCTGATTTTGAGACAGGTGATGAATTTGACCAGCAGAAGCTTTGCGTTTTGCATTTCACAGTTTGTCTGTGGAGATTCTCCATCATCCAGGTCATGGTTGTCCCAAAGGTGCTTTTTCCAGAGGCAACTGGACTTGCTTTCTTTTCCTTTGAAGACATTTTGCTTCTCATCCAAGAAGCTTCTTCAGCTCTGACTGGATGGTGGGGAATGGAAGTATTTGTACTCCTTGCAGACAGCTGGTCATTTGCCTTCTTTCAGAGAGTCGTTGAGGCCACCAGGAGGTTTAATCTAAATGTCCTCAGGGTCACTTGAGTGGTACAAATGGGTGAGGAGCCTTCTTGGAAGTGCTGAAAAGACTGTGTTGTAGAATGGAGATAGATGATGTCGGATCCCTCCCCCTCTGTTGAGAGAGGCCTGTTCAGTCTTGACCTAGATGGCCTCTTTGACCCCTTTTTCAAACCATTAGTCCTCTCTGTCCAAAACATGAACTTTGCTGTCTTCAAAAGAGCGGCCTTTGTCTTTTAAATGCAGATGGACTGCTGAATCTGGTCCTGATGGGTTTTTTTCTCCTATATTCTCCAAGTGGCCTCAACGACCCTCTAAAAGAATGCAAATGACCAACTGTCTGCAAGGAGTATAAATCTTTCCACTCCCCACCATCCAGTCAGAGCTGAAGAAGCTTCTTGGATGAGAAGTGAAACGTCTTCAAAGAAAAGCAAGGATGTCCAGTTGTCTCTTGAATAAGCAACTTTGGGACATTACACACTTTATATTCATTGCTTAATTGGCCTTTTCTTCTCCACAGATATTCCAACTTGATTTTGAACTTGTTCTCTCTGATGGTTGATGCCAACATTCCAGACATCGCTCTTGAACCAGATAAGACCGTCAAAAAAGTAAGGAACCCATTTCTTATATACTTCCTCCCCCCACCCCCCAAATATATATATATATATATATGTCCATCATCTAGAATTTTCAAGAACACAGATTCAGTGTGAAGAACAATATTTTTATGAAATTCAATGGTGAAAAAAGTAAGGTTCTACATTTAGGCAAGAAAAACCAAATGTACAGGTATAGTATGCTCAATGGTAGCAACTGTGAGAGGGATCTCGGAGTACTAGTGGACAATCACTTAAATATGAGCCAGCCGTGTGCTGCAGCTGCCAAAAAAGCCAACACAGTCTTAGGCTGCATTAACAGAGAATTAGAATCAAGATCACGTGAAGTGTTAAAACCACTTTACAATGCCTTGGTAAGGCCACACTTGGAATGCTGCATCCAGTTTTGGTCACCACGATGTAAAAAAGATGTTGAGACTCTAGAAAGAGTACAGAGAAGAGCAACAAAGATGATTAGGGGATGGAGGCTAAAACATATAAGGAACGGTTGCTGGAATTGGGTAGGTCTAGTTTAATGAAGAGAAAGACGAGGGGGGACATGACACCAGTCTTCCAATATCTCAGGGGCTGCCACAAAGAAGAGGGAGTCAAGCTATTCTCCAAAGCCCCTGAAGGCAGGACAAGAAGTAAAGTTTGGAAACTAATCAAGGACAGAAGCAACCTAGAACTAAGGACAAACTTCCTGACAGTTAGAACAATTAACCAGTGGAACAACCTGCCTCCAGAAGCGGTGAATGCTCCAACACTGTTGATGTTTCATCCAGTTGTCAAGGATATATAATTGGTGGAATCGTGGCCATCAAAGAGCAGAATTTGCAGGCATTCTGGATTTCATCCACCTTCTTTCCTTCCTTCCTTCCTTCCTTCCTTCCTTCCTTCCTTCCTTCCTTCCTTCCTTCCTTCCTTCCTTCCTTCCTTCCTTCTCTCTCTGCCAACTTGCTTTCATCTGTATCTTTCAATTCGTGATTTAACATTTAATCCCATCCTTTCTTTGTCAGAGATGCAACGTTACTTGATGAGATGGTATTTGTCTTCTTCTTGGACCTTGTCTTGAGAGCCAGCTTTTCTACTTTAAGAAAGAAAGAAAAAAAAATCAAACATAATCTTTGCTTATGTTTCCTTCCAATTAAGCCACAGCTTGCCAAGTTGATTATGAATATCTGGCATGTAGCTTACATGTTTCATTTGGGTTGAACTTCATGCCTGTCAGTCGGGGAGTTCAAAAGGATGCAATCAATTTTATTTTATTTTATTTTATATTTTATTTATTATTTTATTTTATTTTATTATTTTATTTTATTTTATTTTATTTTATTTTATTTTCTTTTTTTTTTTTTTTTTTTTTTTTTTTTTTTTTTTTTTTTTTTTTTTTTTTTTTTTTTTTTTTTTTTTTTTTTTTTTTTTTTTTTTTTTTTTTTTTTTTTTTTTTTTTCTCTCTCTCTCTCTCTCTCTCTCTCTCTCTCTCTCTCTCTCTCTCTCTCTCTCTCTCTCTCTCTCTCTCTCTCTCTCTCTCTCTCTCCCTCTCCCTCTCCCTCTCCCTCTCTCTCTCCCTGCATTCATATTACCTTTAAATATGTCAAACCCCTAAAGCTTCTTCTTTTTCCCCCTCAAGGTTTCGTAGGGCTTTGTAATCTTTCTGAAAACAGATCTCATTATACAAATACTTGCACGTCTGAATTTTATTTATTATGCTGACTCTTTAAATTGTATTTTGCCAACTCCTTCTTCTTCTTCTTTTTTTTTGCAATTGATTTTAATAACCAAGTTGCTGTAAGGGGTCCCGTTGCCTTTGTCTGCTGCATCTTCTTCCCTTTAATGGCAAGTCGAAAAGAGTAAAAAAAAAAAAAAATCTGCAGCTTTGGAAAAATTGCTCTGTCTGATAAATTGTGATCCCTGTGAAAGCTTCATAATCAATATCTCTAAGGACAGAAAGTTGGACGGGTATAATACGTTATCTTGAGAGCACAAGGCGAACGGTGTAGAGAAAATGCTAGCATTATTATTGGAAGGACTGTTTTTTTTCCCCCAGTTATATCTACCTGACCCATCAGAATGGGGAGGCAGGGGATGTTATGGGTCCCCTCTCCTAAGGAGGTCCACCTAGTGAGACCAAAAAGAAGGGCCTTCTCTGTGTTGGCTCTCTCCTTGTAGTTTGAAGGACCATCTTTTCCCAGTTATGTCCACCCAAAACACCAGAATGGGGAGGAAGGAAGGAGAAGAAGGAGGAGGAGGAGAAGGAGGAGGAGGAGGAGGAGAAGGAAAGAAGAAGAAGAAGAAGAAGAAGAAGAAGAAGAAGAAGAAGAAGAAGAAGAAGAAGAAGAAGAAGAAGAAGAAGAAGAAGAAGAAGAAGAAGAAGAAGAAGAAGAAGAAGAAGAAGAAGAAGATCATCATCATCATCATCATCATCATCATCATCGGGGCACTGGGAACTATGTCCAAAAACTTTGCAAAATACATCAAGAAACTGCAGCTTCCTGCAATAACTCCAGCAATGTTACAAAAAACTGTGCTACTCGGAACATCTTACATTTTAAGGAGGTACCTGGTTGACACCTAGGATGCTGGCAGCAACCCGTGTCAACAGTCAGCGCCAGCCAACTTGAATGTTCAGTTGACTGAGGTTCATGTTTAATGAATAAAAGATAATAGTAATAATAATAATACTGATAAAAGAGAATATTTGTAGGCTCAGGGTTGAATTGTGAAGTCCTTGGGGGGGTTGTCTCTGAGCTTGGTTGTTTTCTTGCAGACATTTCATTACCAAACTAGTTAACATCATCAGTGCTAGAAGGGAATGGAGTTTCTGTAGAGGAGGAGGAGGAGCAGGAGGAGGAGGACGACGACGATGACTGTGGGGTCATTGGTGCTCTCTAAACTTGGTGGTTTTCTTGCGGACGTTTCATGACCCAACTAGGTGACATCATCAGTGCTAGAAAGGAGTGGGATTTGGGGAGAGGAGGAGGAGGAGGAGGAGGAGGAGGAGGAGGACTGTGCGGTCCTTGGTGCTCTCTAAACTTGGTGGTTTTCTTGCAGATGTTTCATGACCCAACTAGGTGACATAATCAGTCTTAGAAGGGAATGGAGTTTATGGAGAGAAGGAAGAGGAAGAGAAAAGAAGAAGGAGGAGAAAAGGAGGAGGAGGAAAAGGAGGAGGAGGATTGTGGGCTCTACAAGTTGTATTCTTGCAGACATTTCATTACCAAACTAAGTAACATTATCCTTTCTACCCATGGTAGCTAGGTAATGAAACCTCTGCAAGAAAACAACCAAGCTTAGAGACTAGTGAGTACCCCACAAACAATAATAATGATAATTATTATGGACCAGAAAACGGTCCCATCACTTCTATATTATTGCTAGAGAAAACCACAGGCACGTTTCTGTGGAAGTACCAGTCTCGTCTCCAAAGAGGTATTGTTTTATTAAATGGTTTATTTCAATCTAATTTGCTTAAAACCGAATGGGAACGTCACGGGAGATCACGAAGTTGTTTGTAATAGGTCTAAACCAGGGGTAGGCTACCTGGGCTCTTTTATGACTCGTGGACTTCAACTCCCAGAATTCCTGAGCCAGCCACGCTGAGGGGAAAGGGAAAGGTTTCCAAGCTGAGCCATGCCGGCTCAGGAATTCTGGGAGTTGAAGTCCACGAGTCATGAAGGGGCCAAAGTTTCCCTCATGCTGGCTCAGGAATTCTGGGAGTTGAAGTCCGCAAGTCATGAAAGGGCCATAGTTTCCCCATGCTGGCTCAGGGATTCAGGGAGTTGAAGTCCACGAGTCATGAAGGGGCCATAATTNTGAAGTCCACGAGTCATGAAGGGGCCATAGTTTCCCTCATGCTGGCTCAGGAATTCTGGGAGTTGAAGTCCACAAATCATGAAGGGGCCATAGTTCCCTCATGCTGGCTCAGGAATTCTGGGAGTTGAAGTCCACCAGTCATGAAGGGCCCAAAGTTTCCCTCATGCTGGCTCAGGAATTCTGGGAGTTGAAGTCCACGAGTCATAAAAGGTTACCTACCTCTGGTCTAAACGGACTAAAAGAAAAGAAACGCTCGGCTGCCATGTCCAGTTTGCTTAAAAAAACCATTGAAATGAGATGATTCTGTCGAGAAAAAAAAATCAAAAGAGATGCTTTCGGTGCTTTGGATTGATTTTTCCCACCCACACCCCGTCCCTCCTCAAAAGCTTTAACAAGAAATCCATATATATTTTGAGAAACTCAAACAAGATAAAAATCCACTTTGCCTTGACCTGCAAAATTAAATTACCCTCTGGCGGCCGATGAAGTCCGCCGTAAGATTGCTTTCGCAGAAGAAGGGTGAAGCAGTATAAAAGGTGTTGGGTTTATGAGGTAAATGTAAAGGGTTTTGCCTGTCCAGTCATGTCGGACTCTAGGGGACGATTTCATCTCTGTTTCTGGGCCGAGGGAGACAGCTTTGTCCGAAGACATTTCCATGGTCATGAGAGGGATCTCGGAGTCCTAGTGGACAATCACTTAGATACGAGCCAGCTGTGTGCTGCAGCTGCCAAAAAGGCCAACACAGTGCTAGGCTGCATGAACAGAGGGATAGAATCAAGATCACGTGAAGTGTTAATACCACTTTACAATGCCTTGGTAAGGCCACACTTGGAATACTGCATCCAGTTTTGGTCACCACGATGTAAAAAAGATGCTGAGACTCTGGAAAGAGTACAGAGAAGAGCAACAAAGATGATCAGGGGACTGGAGGCTAAAACATATAAGGAAGGGTTGCTGGAATTGGGCACATTTAGACTAGTGAAAATAAGAACTAGGGGTGACAGGATAGCAGTGTTCCAGTATCTCAGGGGCTGCCCCAAAGAAGAGGGAGTCAAGCTATTCTCCAAAGCACCTGAAGGCAGGACAAGAAGCAACGGGTGGAAACTAACCAAGGAGAGAAGCAACCTAGAACTAAGGAGAAATTTCCTGACAGTTAGAACAATTAACCAGTGGAACAACCTGCCACCAGAAGCGGT